TTAAATTGGATGAATCCTCAGACAGTTTCATTGTAGCGTGTGGGAGACAATCGATGCCGACATTTATTGAACCTGTAATGGAGAATGTGACAGCAATCAAAGGTCAAAATATCGAATTCAAATGTCAAATATCGAGGCTTGGCAAACATATGGTACCATTTAAGTTTTACTCTAAAACTTCTTATGCAAAAATGAAATGAGAAAAATGGAAAGTTAGAATATGATTTCATAGATTTGTAAAAATCCAGTGAAATTTGCAAAATCTTTGGTTAATTTCTAGAAATTTATTAAAATTCTGGAAATTTGCAAAAACTCATTAAAATCTTCGAATTATTTGCAAAAAAAAACGCTTTTATTCTCGTTTTATAATTGCAATTCTGAAAGGATTAAAAATTAATTTTTTTTTTCTGAATTACCAAATCTATATACGATGTTTAGATTGAACGGTTGTTATTGATGTATCCGCAAAGAAATGAATATATCGTTACTTGAACAGCCTGATCAGTCAATTTTCAAAATTAGCCTTTTAAAATTTATTTATTAGTTAGCAAATAAAAATTTTTTTAAAGATTTAAATGCATTTCTCTTTCTTGCAGGTAGCGTTTGCTCGAGCAGACACGCCACCAAGACTAATCGCTTTTGATGAAAAAGTTTTTTTTTTCAAACTTTCTTTTTCACAATTCATATTCTATTGAAATTTTGAACATTGTATCGTTTTCTTCATTCATCATAAAAATATGAATTAGAAATGAAATCATTGCAATTTAAATTTAAATTTTTTTGAAATTAAATTTAAGGTATTCCGGCAACGACATAAATATGAAATTAGACGATCAATGAAGAATAATGAATGGACTTTAGTCATCAAGGATGTTCAAGTTAGGCTTAAAATTCAGAAAAAAGAATTATTATTTTTTTTTTTGAGCAATACTTTGACTTCAAATTTAACTGTATTTTCGGATTGAATTATCCGAAAAAAAAGTGTATCCATTTTAGGAAAATGATATCGGTGGTTATTCGTGCCAGCTGAACACCGATCCAGTACTTTCAAAAACTGGCTACCTTCGTCTTAAAGGTTAATGTTTAGCTGAACAAGAAAGGTTTTCAACCAATAGGCGATAATATGTAATTGATGATAGTGCCAGATGTGGTAATGAGCCTTGACAGAATAGAGATTAACTTTTAAGTGAAGAAAGAATGGACGAGATTATCAAGCGTTTTCATGACCCGCATTTCGCCCATCGACGATTTTATGAACCAATCTTAAAATGAAGATATTAGCCTTTTCCGTGAATATCTCTTCTTGAAAGCTTAATAGTCCATTAGCCAATAATTTAAAGCTTATTAATTCATCTTCCTAATATTTATTGCTTTTGATTTGTTGATTACTGTTTTCCAGGCCTTACTGCTACACTGGCAGTTCTCTTTGTTTTGGCCAACTGTGGGAACTATTCAGGATTAAATCCATCTTCTCGCTTTTCTGCTTTCCTGAACAAATTGAAAGGGTGAAGGGTCATTTTGTTAAGTGATAAAAAGACAATGTAAACAAAATTTATGTTCACAGGGCTTTTTATGCTTTATGCTTGCAAAAAAATGACAATTTCCTGAGTGCTAAAAACTGTATAGCCTGGAATAGTAAATTAGATTAAATTTTCAATAAAGATCAAAGGTCATACGATATAAGATGGATGTTAAAGAATTTGTTGACATCATTAATTATTAGCTTTTCGTTACGATAATCTTCTATTAATTGATATCGCCTGTTTATTTATTCATTTCCGTAGCTGTAATTGTAATTTGAAAGTTAATCAATATTAATTAAATAAAAGAAAAATATTATAAGTCGATCAAACAAATGCTGCTTTTTTGATTGAAATTTCAGAAAAGCACATAAAAATAAATCAAAATATTATTTAAATATTTCGAGACTTGCAAAAGGTCAAAGACCATCGATATAATAAAATGTAGGAAACAAACAAACCTACTGCTTGGTTTCTTGCTTAGATGTTACTTTTTTGCTTTGTTAGCTGTCAAATTATTCATTTATCATTCTTTTTTTCTTCTGTATATCAATACATTGTTATTTAATATTGGGACAGGTGAACTATTAAAGAGAATGGTAGAGGATTTCTACGCACCACCTGCTACTAGGAGGAAGTTAATATTGAATTAATTAAACAGTGAAATGGTAGTGGAAAGCTTAAATGACTTGCTAATGGTGGTAAAATTTCTGATAAAAGCCACATATAAAACTAAATTATTCATTAATTCTCATCAACATTTGAAATTTTAAATTCATTGAAAATTAATTTAGTTCAGGTTAGCTTGATACTGGAGGGGATTATGCTTGACATTTATATTTTAGAAAGATTTTCGCTCAAATATATCCAAATTGTACTTTTTGTAAATAAATAATCAAAATAGATCTAAATTTTATAATGAAAAAATTTAAAAATAAATGACAAATTATAATTAATGCAATGTGCTTTACTTGCAGTTTTACATACATAGCTTAAATAGTTATACTATTTAAGCTAT